CTAGAAAAAAAATTACTCGTAAGTAAAATTTTTCCAATAAGGTATAAATATAACACCAGAGAGAGACTTTGTATAAGAGTCGTTTGCTTAGACACCTCTGTCCCATTCGTGTTTCCACCGTGAAACAGTTGTGTTTGAAACGCTGTATTTCAGTTTGAAGGATGGGATATGGCAGTGTAATTTTACATAATATTATAGATTACTTTTTATCATGAAATATTTTATAATCGAGATCATTGTTCACAAACGCAGGTGATAACTTAATCGTTCCATTGCTAGCAACTTACTCTACCATGTCGACCTCCACGCGGATTTTCCTGGAAACCATCGTAGTTAATTCTGGTGGAATTCATCACTAACGTTGCGTTGCGCTAACCGACTTACTAGGGATGCATTCTTGCTAGTAACCTACTAATATATACCGATAGCGCAGGCGGGGTTACCATTTCATTTTCACTTGTTTAAAAAAAATAATCCCACTTAAATTAGGTATATGTATAAATATGTTAATTGTTTTCTTAATTCATGAATGCATTACCCACCTATTTCTCTGTTTGTCCAATAATTAAATGGTAGAAAACCCCATCCGGTGTTAAATTCGCCAAATGTACATACAATTACATTGTGCATTAAGTTTAAATAAATAATTAAAATTCTAAATGCAAAAGTTCCTAAAGATTAAAAATTTAGTGAATTGGAATGTGAATTCTGATACACCGATACAAAATGATTTATATTATAAATAAAAACAAGATTACACTTTTCATTCTAATTCACACGAACAACATCGCTGGAAACAACTAGTAAGTAATAAATCTTGACACCCGACCTTTCAATATGATTTACTCAGATCTAGATAATTAATTGCGAATGGAACTTTTGAAATGTCATTGTATCATTTAAAACAAAATAATACGTTTACTTTTAGTATGTATGTATATCATTATTATTGTAAACATCATTGTTGGTCGTTTGCTTTCAGCTATCAGACTATCACACAAGTGTGGTGTCAAATGCGGTATATGTACAATCGGGAGGCATTATTACTGTTTAACGTTTCGTCAGGTCTTTATTAAGTAATAATTCATTGCATAAGTATTACACATTGTCACGAACATATGTACTAATCATGTTATAGGTAGATAATAAATATGTAATATTACATTGCTATTAATTTCTTCGAATTATTTAAACGTATGAAAATCGTCATAAGTGCCATTTACAATTACACGGTATTCAGTTACCAAAAAAGAAGGATTTTTCCAAAATTCACAATTGACTGATTTACAAAATCTCATATATTATATTAGATAATAAATGACATAACAATATATATTGTTATTTGACCGAGTCAATGAATACTTAAAGAACCTGATTCTGAAATAACATTGTCTAAACTTTCGATAAAATTTACAAATTTTAGAAATACAAAAGATAGAATATTCTAGAATGTGACTGAACATACTCTCGACTGATTTCGAAATGTTGTTCTTTAATATTATCATTAAATTAATTAAATATTTAGGTATATTGTAGTATGTAATTATTAGAGATATGTTTCTAGAACGAAATTATTATATGCTGATCATTTGTTGGTATTAATTAATGTCACGTAAAAAAACACTACAAGTATGAATATAATTATAATATCTACCTAGTACTTATATAAATATAGTATATAAATAGTACAGTGTTTACAGGCACGGGATATAACATATATTATATTGTGTCTTTGATAATAGTTTAAATATTACTTACCTTGCATTAATTTTAAATCCAAAGCTATAGCACTATTGATAAATCTTGGTTTTGGCTATGAATATAGTGTGACTTGTGATATGATAGCTCAGGCCAGCGACCTTAAAAACAATTGTTATTTAAAAGGATGATAAAACATTGGGGATGTTTACATATGATATTTAATTTTAATTATATGAAAAAGTGTCATTACCTATTTACCACCTAACTATAGTAATATAACTGAATTGTTGCATAGTATAATAACATACCTAAGTTTTGTAAATATTATTTGGAATACTCACATTGTTAATAAGTGGTATTTAGTAGATTATTGTTTACTCTTTGTTATTATTAATGTAAAAATTCTACAGTATAGCACTTTTAAATCTTCATTTTATTCTATTAAAACAATATTTTTTAACATTTCACATATTTGCCATTATTGATTTAATAATAAGTTATTAATTTCTTATTTAATGCAGCTAAATCTAAAAAAAAAAATATTTTTTATGCAACTTAGAATGGCAAACAAGCTGACGGACCATCTGATGGAAAGTGATAACCATCGCCTATAGACATGAGCAGTACCATGGACATAACAGAGTATACTGTTATATTATATTCAAAAATTGGGAAATACTTTATCCTAAATGCAAAGAAATCCAATTAAATCATAAATATATTATATACATAATTTTTTGTATCTTATTTCACTGTTTGTCCATTATTGTTGTTTAAAATACTAAAGTACCTTTTCTAATTATAACCTAGTATTTATAGAGTATCCATAGAGTTATAATTAAAAAAACTTATTTATTAGCTTTTTCATCAGCATCATTTCATTAGCTTTTTGAAATTTAAAATTTAGTACTCAGTAGTTCATACAGAATTGTGGTCTTGGTGATTGTACCGCGATATCTTATCATAGAGGAGCGTTGGCGGTGTATGCCTATAGGTACTACAGTATCGGGTCACACGGTCGACGTCCAAGGAACGTGATCCATAAACTAGATTAAATGACTAACAATTACTTTCAATTCTGTTTAAAAATGTACTCTAAATACGTTACGGTTGCTCAGAATCGAAAACTGAGTATTTAGTATATTTTCGGTGTAGTGCAATATTTAATAATGCCCTAGTGGCGATTAATAAAGATCTAAATAAATAATTAAAGATATACCAATACGCAAGGTAACTTTTTTTTTTTATTCATGCTAGTTTTCGTATATTTATCTCTAACTTGCGATCGGGCTCGACTTAGCAAGTGTAGATAGAATTTTAGAACATAATATATAAGCCTATCTTACTCACTGATAATGTAGCTTTCTATAGGTGTAAATAATAAACATACAAAAAAATTTAATATTTCGTCTTTTTTTTAATATTATAGATCAAGGGTCCTGAACCTTTTTGAAGTTAAGGACCTAGTATATTCTGATATTGGTTCGGTGTACCGCAAAAAACCAAAAAAAAAATCTATTGTTAACTAAAAGTAATTAAAAAGCAATAATTATTGAAGTTATTTATTATATAATATATATTTTACAAAAATCAATGAGACGATTGATATTGTTTATTCTTAACTAATTTATCAATATGTGCCTAAGATCTGTAAAATTTCTCAACATGTGAATTTATTATAGTTAATCTAATATCCAGCCGCCAAAGACGCCGCCGGCCGCGAAGCCTTCGGTTCAAAACCCTTGATATATTTTTATTGATCTTTTACTGGTATTGCAATTTTAGAAAAAAAGGCTATTTATTTAATAATTACTTTACAAATTACATATAAAATTATTTATATATACTATGGTGTATAAAAATCCCGTGTCACAATCTTCATTCACGCTAATCTCTGAAATCGATCAATTTATTTTAATAAAATTTTGTAAATGTGTATCGTTTACTCCAGCTTGAGAGATATTTTTTTATCCCGATAAAAATGGACTCGTGAGGTGGTAGCAAGCGGAACAATAGATAGAATTGGAGATCGTCAATTTAGAATCAAATTCACTCATTCATATCTGCTTTCAATTAGTTTTTTTTTCAATAACTATCAAAATATTAAATACGAGTACGTATTAAGTTCAAACTTGCGTCAGAACTTAACGAGGTCATTGTTTTAACCATATTATTGTTTAGACAGCTGGAATGATTGTACTTACTTACCTATATGTTAGAGAAACATTGAAAGCGACGTAGTCAATATGATTTATCGCGTATACAAAGATACGCAAGTAACAAAGGTTATAAACTCTGCTGCCAGTGCAATCTGGAAATATTATTGTTATATCAAATCGCGGTTTTTTTTATTGGGTGTAACCCCACCAGCGATAACGGTATACGCTGGCGGGGCACCAGTAAAGTATAATAGCTGAGAATGAAAAGTTAGCTCATCGTGATGCATAAACCTGAAATTCAGCATGTTGATTTCTAGGAGGGACCACGTGGAGGTCGTCAATGGGACTGGTAATCTGCGTTATTATATATATTATATATATATAGGAGCAGTTTTAATTTTTTTATATTAACTGTACCCTTACGCCTATACGCCTATACGTACTTAACCCTATACGCGATTTGCCCCTTTGTAACTTCATGTTAAAGCTTATCCGATAATAAAATTTCAACCTAACAATAATAATATTTTTACTAAATTATTTTTTAAATTGTACACAATATTCCTGCGCTAGATTACCTGCTAATCATTTTCTCTCTCACTGCATTGAGTAGGCTGGAAGAGATCTCTTTCAGGGATAAGCCCACCCTTACCAACAAGTTGTTAAACTAATCACTGTATCTCTTTTCTGTAAGTGAAATAAAGAGGTTTCTTCAGGGTCGGCAACGCACGCGTAATACCTCTGGTATTGCAGGTGTTCATAGGCTACGGTAACCACTTACCATCAGGTGGGCCGTATGCTTGTTTGCCATCTCAGTGGTATAAAAAAAAGTGAAATAAAGAATATACAAAACAAAAATGCTATTCTTTCACTATACATCAGGAAGGCCGCCAGCTTGTTTGAACTAAAGAGTTTGAATTGAGTTATAGTTTCAACGTTGAATTTTCGTTACAATATTTTGCTTATTATTATAACATCTCTAAAGCCTAACTGTGGTTGCCAATTCGCCTGCCAAGCGTGGCAACTACTGTTAAAACCGCCCAATGGGAAGACCTATATTTAGCAGTGAACAATTAAAGGCTAATATGATGACGACGATGATTATAAATTTTATATAAAATTCTATTAATATTGTTACAGATATTGCAAAATGGTTGTACGGGTAGCTACCGACGAGAGACCGCTGGAGACTCCGTCATCTGACGAGAGCGGTCTAGGCCGGAGTGATTCACCCAGTGATGACACTGAACCCGAAGCGGCATTAGTAAGTCACGTCAAAATTATTAAACTGTGTCAAACGACATCCGAGTTCATAGCCGTAATAAGTCTAGGCACGCAAGCACAGCTCATTATTTACTTATCTACGGTTTATAAGATAAAATTAAGAGCACATTATTAAGAGCATTTAGTTCACATGGGTAGTAACGTACTAGTATAACGAATACTATGTTAACGTAGATACTAACCTTAATCTGTGTCACGCACGATCATAGTCGATAATCTGTGATGTCCATGGAACAGTTCATGTCTCTACTCGTAGTAGTTTTTTTTTTATAGGTGATAATGAAATAGTAACCCCACCTGCGCTATCGGTATACACCGCCAGGGCACCAGTGAAGGATGATAGATGAGGATGAAACAGGTCAGTTAGCCCATCGTGATGAATTCAACGAGAATTGTTCACGATGGTTTCCAGGGGGAACCATGCGGAGGTTGACCTGATAGGGCATATTGCTAGCAATGGGGCTGTCAAACTCCATTGCTAACAATCCCTTCCCCCCACTCGTAGTAGTTTAAAACTTTCATGGAAACACTAGTTACGTTTTAATATAATTTAAGGAAGAGTTAATAAACAAACTTTTTGTTAAAATTATCACAGAAATAGTCTCTAAATAAAATTAGTACAGAATCGAAAGATTAAATAATTTATTTTTTTATATGTACTTTTATTTGATGTCGGCACGGTCAATTATTTGTTTGTTTACATTTAACTTTACTTACTACTTTAATCGTGACAAATGAAAAAGGAACAAATCAGGAATAAACCCTAACAACTAAACATAGAATTCTAACAAAATTCAAGTTCATAATACCGCGTAACATACATATAAAAAGGAGGTTTCAGTAATTCCATTTTTAAGCGGTGTAAAAAATAGACGAGACATAAAATACAAAATGCTCATTAAATTATTTAAGTCTATTTATCTACAGTCACGTATAATTACTATAGAACCTTATTGCATCAATTAATTGCAATATCATTGTTTGTGACAATGTAAGTACAAGTTATTTACATGTCATTGCATGCATAGAAATTTATTATATTGATATTGCACGTATCTATCTATCAATACTTTTCAGGTTCTTTTATGCACCTGGTCCATAAACCATAAATTTTGATCAATTATTTAACCTTTATTTAATTTTCTATCTAAATATAAAATTATAAACCTATTTGCATAGAACTGAAAAATAAAACTATGTACCTCAAAATCTTTCTAGAGTAAGTACATAAACACAGGACAAAAAACATGTAGGTATCTTGTTTTAGCATAAATAATAAAAAAAATCACAAAAAAGAAAAGTGCCTTGCTCGTACAAGTATATTATGTGTACTAACTATCACATAACTTGCATAAACAAAATTTATTACGAGTGAAAACTTTACTTTTTACAGTAACTCAGATAAGTTCACGTAAATTTAATACATCGCATTATGTATATCTTATACCATAAACAATAAAACACCTATTGAATCTATTTTCTCGATCTGTCATTATTATTGAACATATAGATAAAAAGTAAAAAAATAATAATACGTCAGTTGACATGACTGTGAAAAAGTCTAACATGGCACAGTTTAACATATAGATTTTTTTAAACGAATATATTAAATGGGGCTAAACGAAATGCCCCCGCTTTTTGTAATTGCCGGCTATGTCAAGCTTGGCATATATTAACACACTAATAGTTTTGATCGTCGGATATCACATTTGTACAGTTATATTTGGCTTCGACAGAGTAGACTGGAAGCAGAGAAAAGTTGTTGATGTTCAAACGGACAAGATAGATACCAAGTCAGAATGCGTGGAGACATGTAGCTGTGATTAATCCAAATATAAAGTAAATTTAATCCAAGTATAAAGTAAATTATGCGAGAAATCATGTATCAAATTTATAAAGGAATTCAGTAACTATACAAATTAATTAAAGTCTGGCTGATCTACAAAACATGACAATATTTGAAAAGAAATTGCGCAGAAAGAGGACGCTACGGAAGATTGCTGAGAAGATAATAAACGCTTGTCTTTTAGCTACAATTTCATTAGCATTTGCTGAAATAACAATGACTGTACTATTATTACTGCTATAGGTAAATCTTTGATTTCACAATGGCTTTTGTGAGAGTTTGGCAAAGGAGGAAAGAGATGTTACAAAAAACAGTAGAATTTTTATTTGATGCGGTAGTTTGGGCGACTCTTATATTTGGAACGTATGTTCTTATAACGATTTAAATATACACGTAGTTGAACTGTTTAAAATTAAAATGGATAAACCGTCATCAAAGGATGTTCATAAATATTTTTTTAAATTGTTTTTTTTGGTTCACTATATTTTTCAGGACTGTTATTCTTTATTTTTAAAAATGGCTTAACTTCTTTTAATAATATACTTGATATGCATTGCTTTAGTAGTTTTAATTGTATATTAACCACACAATTGTCTGGTCATAAGCAGTTTGGCAAGAAGTTATAATAATACTATCCATCAATTTCTGTCCTCCTGTCCTGTGTTAAGAAGTTTCAAGGCATTGTCAGTGATTCTGGACATTTTTTTTTCTATATAATAAATGTTGAAAAATTTTACATTCATACTAATACCCTTATTCATAAAAACTAAAACTTCCTACAATCCTATTTCAACTATTACACTATTTTGTCACTATCATTCAATCTAATAATTCAACACAAAAGAAAGAGACAAAACAGTTCTATAGCTAAAATAGGTATATGGAGGTTTTACGTTTTTATGAATAAAGAGATTACTCTATAACTGGACACATGTGTGAGTAGATGGGAGATACATGGGAGATTCTAAATTATTTGCCGTTTTTCGATCTATATTTCTTTGGGAAAAATGTTCAGTTTTACAGCTAGAAACTCCGATAATATGTAGGCGGGACTTTTAACTTTTTTTGTTTCATTGTTCTTTCTTAGCGCCTTCACGGCTTAACCAATCACAATTGGTAAAATTTTGTATACACGTACTATATGGAATGGAGAAGGATATAGGCAAAATTTTTAAATTGTGAGTTAACATATCCCAGTCACGCGGACGAAGTCGCAGATAAAAGCTAGTAAATAACATGTAGAAACTTCCCTATCATAATTATTATTGGACATTTAGTCCTATTGCCTGAAACAATTAACGGAATTGGGCAGCAATGATATCACGTGGCGACACTGAAACTCAGAGTAGGGGATAATTAGATCGAATATCGAGGCCATTTGCGTCTTTGACACAACCTTTATGAGAAAAATAACCTTGTCTGCGCTACAGACTTCAGGAATCATGATCAATCAGTAGTAATTTATTTGGATATAATTTTTATTTCACTATGTTTCATTCAATTGGTATCATTAAAATTACGAAATAGTTTATGGTTCTATACATTTGTGTTTATTGTGATTGTAAAAGTTTATAAAAATGGTTGCGTTTTTTTTACATATTTATCATATATCGACTGAGCAGTTTCAAGTGAAATTCAATTAATATTATATCAACCATATGCACAACACAGTAACACTTTAATAATTTTAAAATATTTTATTGAACTAGGTAGATATTATTATCTTGCAAAATCACTTTCAAAATATATCACAGGTTAAATGGAGATTGATGGCTAGTATGGAAGGTTGTAGAACTTTCGATAGTAATAGTGGTGGTCAATCTTCAAGAGTTGGCAGTCACACACATACTAATGATAGCAGAATTAAACAAAATAATTCTCATCAAATATAGACTTTTTCTCTTTGAACCTGACGAGATTGAATATAATGGACATAAAAGGAAAAACGTGTCTTTGAGGTACATATTTCACACCATGTAAATAATAATAATCAATTATTAATATTTATTTATTATTAAAATAATAAAATTTCAATTATTGGTACATATCATAATAACTAGGTAAAGAAATGCAAAAACTTATTTAAAAATTAATAAATTCGAAATAATTACAGAGATACCAGCAAATGGCGATAACAATATGAAAACAGAATAAATAGTTTGTGTAAAGTATATTTTTTTAAATAAATAAGTACATTTACACTTTAGTTATTTTTATTGTATAAATGTAAAATTTGCAGGTTCAAATTGGTATAAATAATAACAAAAATAGAAAAATTTGCTAAAATTATATCAGAAATAGTTTTCAATAATTAGTAATTAATCTATATGTTACACGATATCTCCGCTTATTATTATGAGTTCATTTTGATATTTTCTTTTATTGAAAGGATTTTATACTTCTTTGTCGATATATCCAGTCTACTAAATTTGTCATTATTAAAGTAGCTCTCCTTATTTAACAAAACTGAATATTATAATACAATGATTGTAATTTATAACAGGTGGTGCCTCCAGACGGCGGCTGGGGGTGGGTCGTGGTGGTTGCATCATTCATGTGCAACGTGTTTGTAGACGGCATTATCTTCTCCGGAGGAATGTTCCAAAACTCGATACAAGAAGAATTTAATGTAAGTACCAGATTTACAATTACGCACTGCTTCAGGAAATCTAGACTAAGCTGTGCTGTTTTTCCCGCATATATTTACTTAAGTATAGATTACTTATTTTACGTGGTTTTTCCTCAGTGCATATAGCTTTTTAGCATCCGTGTAGTTCCGGCAAAGAATAGGCCACCTCTTCCTTTCCTTTGAGTGTCATAAGAGGCGACTAAAGGATCTTAATAGTAGAGGGATGGGTAGCAGCGTTTCTGTTAAAACATCTCTAAAAGCCTAAATGTGGTTAGCCTAGTAACCGCATTTAGGCTTTTAGGCTTTTATTTAGGGGGTGGGGGGCATTCACAGTTATCAATGCTATGAAGTGTCATAGTCTACTTGTCATCTATATTTCAGTTGAATGAAGAATACTTTCAAGTAATTTGTGCATATGTACCTATGTAATGGTTAGTCAAAGAGACATAGAATGGCAGCTTTGTCCTACATAACAGATCACAACTTTTTATATCGAAAGAAGGGAGAGTCTTGGCATCGACTGTTTTTATATAGATTCTACCGGTTGGGAATCTAATTATCTTGGATTCGATTTCTTGTCAACGTGACCACGACGTGACACCAATTAATGACATGACATGAGAGAGATATAAAAATTTATAGACAGGTTTATATGTAGTAATTGAAACTACCAAAAGAAATTATATGCATAAATATTAATTGAACTTGCCTTATCTTGTGATCAGCACATCTAGTCCACTATTAGGGTCCCCTAGTAGTGACAAAAATGGACGAATGAAAAAACATTGTTTGGTAAATATGAAAAAAATATTTGTTAGATAGGCATTTAGACCTATGTCCACTTATTTCTGTTGAGTGCATGATATGAAACTAGTGTCTAAAACTTTTACCTACAAGTGATCGTTTTTACTTACACGTAAAAAGACTAAAATAAAACTAAGCACGTTTTTAGAAAGAATAGTAAACCCTTTTGTATTATTGGTATTTATTGACGTTAGGTAGCCAGAATCTAGCGAAGGATTTTAGGATTGCTAGCCGATTGCGAAGTCAAGTCACTTGATCACAGACAATATTACATGTAAAATGATTTATTTATTTAACTCTTTATTGCACCTAAAATATAAAAATATACAATAACAATTGACGATGAAATAAAACATAAATACAGATTGAAATATATACATAAAGGTACAAAAAACGATCTTATCGCTAGAGCAATCTCTTACAGACAACCTTAAATGATAAAATACTCATATATGGAACCCTATAATATTCTAGACCAGTTCCTGTGAAATATCTGATTTGAATGAATTTAGAAAAGTTCTAGTCATAAACATAAATATAATAGATGTCGTAATATTTTTTACAAATCTCTTGGTCCTAAGTTGGCTCTAAAGAATCTATTTAAACCTCAGTCAAATGTTGATTCGGAGAAATTTATAATGAAAAAAATGTAGAAGTTTACCAACAGTAACAGTATTACAGATGGTATTGTTAAAATATTGATGCCCAAGTGGATTTGCTATTAATGAATAAAAAAATAGCTGTTAAACCATGACAAATTTTTAAAACAGATCGAGATCTTTGCGTTGTCTATCGTATGTATGTAGTCTTAGTAGTGACTCAGGCAAAAAATACGGTATTTACAGAAAAGCTTTGTACGTAGGTACTTGAATCCCAGACGGTCGATTCGCATGGATCTATTTATAGACAATGATCGGTGGTCTCAGTGAATCTCGTGACCACACCCTCGAAACTGGCGTTTGCGCAGGAGTTTACGATACTCACGTCACTGCCGTGCCTCTTTTACACGCTGATAATAAAATTATAAGCCTAATGTTTCAGTGTCTGTCTGCCAAGTTCAAAAATAATGACGAAACGACGGAATCACCTTGGATGAATCATTAAAATATAATATGAGTATTAACACGTTTACCCTCTTGTTACTATATTTTCGATAGCAGTATTAGTTTATTAGCCCATTTGTTTTTAGTTGTGACAATTCAGATCGACTACACAAAATAAACATTGATAAATACTATCTGTAACCTTGTACAAAAATTTCTGACGCAGTACAAAAAACAGCAACTTTGAAGTGAAACTAGACAGGATATTTAAACAATAGGTGGCTCTCCTAAAAAACAAAAAATAAGTCACAGAAGTCCTTGTATACGATGGAGAGACAATCTTGACCGGTTCCATAAAGTGGTACGACTTGGCCAACGTTCGTGGGAGAAGGAAGCAGTAGTGAGAAGCCATTGCCCAGCAGTGGGACTTAATACACTATGATTGATTGATTAATGATAAAAAATATTGAGATTGTGGTCTGTCTGGGTATCAAATTTAAACCCGTCGAACCATTTTGGCTTCAACAATGAAGTAACAAACATCAGTACATCCAAACCATCTTACTTTACAAACTTACACATTTTTTACAATATTATAATAAAAAAAAAATATTTAACAATAAAAAAACAAAAACAAAAAATTCTCTTGTAATAAGAAAAAAAAAGATTTAAAAGTAAACTACGTCACGCCTACAATTGCTGATTGCCGCCGAGAGAATATTACCATAATGTTAAGGCCAAGGCCTCGATCACAAGCTCATTCATTCTTTCGTTACCTCAATGCAAAATATTATACGAGTACTAAATATTAGAATGTAACTCGTCAGAAATAAAGACTAATTTCAATTATATTATATAAATATAATATAACGTTTTTGCCAGATTCTTTGTCTTTTTCAGCACGTAATTGATCTTAGAGATGATCAATTAACAGTGCTTAAAAAAGCAACATAAGTATTTCAATATAATTAAGTATATTATGATAGAATCATAACCTATTATACATAATTTTATAATAGGTTATGATTATACAAAAAAATCCTTAAAATTATAATATTAATTTATTTGTGAAATAATAGGTATGTATACAATTGTCTTGTAAATAATAATTAATAATATTTATTATGCTTTACGCAAATAAGATAACATAAATTATAGATTGACAACATATCATCTGCGGCATGCAGTTGTTGTTGTAGTTGATATAAATTTTTTGTTGTACATACTTTAAATAGATCATAGTCCGAAGAATAGGCAGCTGAAGTGGCAATTCGGTGGTTACATAGCTCGCAGAACTAACAGCCTACCTAACCAATGACTAAGGGAACGTAATGGTCGAGGGATGGGCAAAGTGCCTCTTTAAATATAACCAAAGCCTAACTGCGGTGGTCAACCTGCCTACCATGGTTGCCAACTACTAAACCCATGAAATAGGGAAAGTGCTATGTTATATTGATGGCTGATATTGTATGATGATGATTTATTTATTTCTGATCTTAATTTAGCAAAATAAAACATAACACATATTTGATTAAATATATCTTTACAAGAATATTCAGTAGACGCCGATTTACCTTTTACATTACATTTATTTCGAGTTTTAACATTACGAAATGACAAAACGATCTTACGCTCCAAAATTAGTATACTAATTAAATTATTTACTGAATTTACGAATACAATATTCGTAAATTCAGTAGTCGGAATGAGTCATACAAGTTAAATATAGATTCGTTTCAAATATGGTATTCTTTCACATGTTCTACGTCACAAAGCAAATCCAAAGCCCAGTAAGGCAGGTTGTCGATTAATTACACAATTTACGCGACTTTGGTGGCGAATCGACGCCAGTGGAATTTACCGCTGCCAGTCTTAGACAGGGTTGTCTCGATGTTCTGAGTATAAGGAAAATCACCTGACTAATAATTAAGTTTTTTATTTATTTATTATGAAGAATCCTTATTTATCTCATAAATGTTGAAAGTGGGTTTGTATGTTTGATAACTCTTAGCGCTTTAACAGCTTAACCAATCGTTATGAAATTTAACATTTCATATTTTTGTCCCCCCAAGGGGGAGGTTTTTGTTTAGCAGTAGACATTTAAAGGCTAAATGATGATGAGGGGGAAAGGGATTCTTAGTCATGGAGACTGAGAATCCCATTGCTAGCAATATACCCAACTAGGTCGACCTCCTCGCGGTTCCCCCTGGAAACTATCATGGTTAATTCCTGATGAATTCATCATGATGGGCTAACTGGCCTGTTTTCATTCTTATCAATCACCTTTCACTGGTGCTCTGCCAGCGTATCCCATTAGCGCAAGTGGGGTTACCATTCCATTTTCACCCATAAAAAAAAATTATGAAGATTTATATCTCAGTCAATGAACATATCCCGATCACGCGGATAGAGTCTTATTTAAAAGCTAGTTAATAACTAGCGATCAGACCTGGCTTCGCGCGGTTAGATAGAATTTTTTAATGTAATATGTTATTGGCTCATAATGTAGCTTTCTACAGGTAAAAGAAATAAAAAAAACGATAGTTTTTAAGTTTACCTATTACAAAGAAATAATCAAATCTTTCCTCTTTATAATATACAATTTAAATTTATAAAGACCAACTTTTTTAAAACTAAGTAGGTAAGTAAATAATATAATGCGTTAATGGATAGTTTAAAAGTATATAATACATAATTATAGCAAACAGCACCCAATAACGTTATCTACCATAGAATATTGTGGGTTCTAATTATTGTTAGATTATTTACTAACCAATTTTCTCTAAATCTAAAATATAATTTACTTCTATAATAAGTATAATATAAATATAATAAGTACTATAGCAAGTGCCATAATGCTATTTATTGTTTCTATTATGGTGTTAATGAACATGAATTTTCAATTTTTCACGAATAAACATTCCACTTTTCAATGTCATTTCCATATTTCAAATCCGGCACGCGTATTATATAAACGTGACATTAATTTTCTTTCAGAAAATATTTAAGGCGCGTACGTATCGGAGTTAATTCATAATTCTATACATTATTTTAAATATTTAACTATAAACATCTCTTTAAATATATAATATCTATAAATAGAATTAAAATAATAATCATCATGTCAGCCTTTAACTTTCCACTGTTGAACAT